AGCTTCAGCTAAAGTAAGAAAATCCGATGTCAGGAGAAGGTTCCAGACAGTATGAGAAGTCTTGGTCTGCTGGTTGCCTGAGAAGCTCTCAGACTGTCCAGTCCTGGAGGAGGAGGTCACTGAGACCTCCAGTTGCCTCTCAAAAATGAGGAAGGTTTTGGTCACCCCGAGACAGGGATTTATTGGGCTCCTCAGGTCCCCGCTAATCGTAACATTTACTTTTTTCAGTTAAACGTTTCAGATATTCCTGCAGTTTCTTGGGCTTCGGTGAATAAAGCACGGTATGTAATAAACCAAATCTGAGCAGTAAATGCTGTGTATCCCTGGCAAAGGGCAGCTGGTGGCCGTGGGCAGGATGCTGCATCTCCTCGAGCTCTGTTGCTGCTGCATGGGAAGCGTTTCTTGGGGAGAAAAGAGGTGAAAATGGCCTAGACTGCCCCGTGCCTCTGCTGCAATGTGGTTGCTCAGGACACCAAGCCTGGCTTGGGCACGGCTCACGGTGTAACTCGCCTCCCCTGATGCTTTTCCCTGTTTGGAGGGAAATACCAGCTGGCTTGGCAGCACCGTGGCCATTGCCAGCCCGGGAGCGTGAGCCCCCGGCACGGCCCCGGCTCTCCCGGCTCCTCTGGCTGCTTCCCCCGGGGCAGCTGGTGGAGCGTGTCCAGCTCCCTGCAGGCTCGCCCGGCTCGTTCCTCCACGGCTCCTCGTGGTGTTGCCACCTCTGCCACGGCCTGGCTTGCGGCTCAAGCCTTCCAAGTCATCATTTGGGCTCTTCAGCAGCGCCGGAGAGGGAGCCGGCCCGGGAAGCTGCCCAGAAGCGCGGGGGGTTGCTGTGCTGTTTGTCCCCGGTGATAAACCAGGGGTTGCCGAGGTTTTGCCCCTGTCCACCCCAGTGCTGCTCGGTGGTTCGGGTGCTTGTGGGCACCAGCGTGACCCACGGTGTGCTTGGCACCGCTGGCTTCTGCCGCTCTGGTGGGGTGCGGGGCCAGCAGAGCTGCCCTGGCTGCGTTGGTCAGAAAGACTCGCTGCAGCTGCAGTTGTCACGATAGAGCACAACGTGGCAGGCGGTTCCGTGTCCGTTTTTATTTCCATCCTTCGTCGTGTTGTCGTGTTTTCTCTGTTTTTATTAAAGGAAAGGTTTGGTCTCATTGTTTGCAACCCATTAACACGCAGCGTTCTGCAGTTCAGAACTTGATTTGGTGGTTTTGAGCTCGCTGAGGATCTGATGTAACTTGAAAAGATTTGAGCTGTGTAGATTGTTGTAAGCATATTCTTCTTTTAAGTATTTTTGTGCATTCTTTCGCCTCACTGGAGGGAAAGTAATGCTCGGGCTCGCTTCAAGTCAAGCTGCACTTTGAACTGCATTTGGAACTGGGTTAAAAAGCACAGGAACCACATTTAAAACGTTAAGATGCTTTTATTTATGTGCTGGGCACACACAAAAAGACTTGTAATGTGTTGGGTTGGTTTTTTTTTGTTTCAAACTGATGTATTAAACAAAGAAAGTATTGACAGCAGTTAATGAATCGAAGGATTGTTTCTGGGCGCTGAGATAGATTTACCAAAGGTATTTAGATGTCTGATGCATGGGATTTTCAGAGAAGCCTAAGCAAGTGCTCGCCAGCGCGGACACACGAGGTTCCTCTCCAAGAGCCGAGTGAACCTGGAGCCGGGCCCAGCTGAAATCTTTTGGCAAGCTGCTCCCTCTCTCCTGCGCACGCAGAGCTCCCGGCTCGGAGGTGTGCTTCCAGCCGACAGGCTCCTGCGTGTCCCCGGCTGTCGG